GGCTTGGTAAGGGGCGCGTGCCGGCGGCGGAAGCGGAGCGAGCGGCCTCTCCCTCCCTCCCTCCCTCCGTGCGGGGACCCGACCCCCCGGGCGGCAGCCGGGAGGATGCGCTGCCGCCTCCCGGTCGGGGCAGGCAGAAGGGGGAGACGATGAGGAGGCCGCCCCGCCGGCTCCTGGCCCTGGGCTCCTGCCTCGTCTTCTGCCTCCTGCTGTGGTGAGTGCGGGCGGGCGCGCCGCGCCGTGCCGGGCTGGGCCTGCCCTGGGAGCGGGGCCGCCGAGATGGGCTCCCCGAGGCGAGTAGGATCCTTCCCCTCCACTGGGAGAGCCCGGGCGGCCGCGTCTCGCTACCTCCTGTGGGCGCCCGCCTGGGGCAGGGCTTGAAATGTGCTCCGTTCTTGGCCGGGGGGGTGGGGGTGACCCCATGATGCTCCTAATAAACCCCGGCTTATGATTGCCACATCTTACAGGGGTGTTCTTGTCTCTTATAGGGGGCTCAGCCTCCCTGTAACTTGAAACCTGCTGGGAAGGGTCTGGCTTCTCCTCTGTGCCCCACCGTGGTAGTGGCGGGGGGCGCTTTGACAAGGCAAATGATCCATGGGGGCAGCTTGCAGTGCCTTCTTCTGCACAGAGCAAGTGGCATCTTTAGCCAGGATCCTCCATGGGGCCCAGGCTGCATCTATTGCACAGCTTCTCTGCTTGTTTCCAGCACCCAACTTTTCTCCATCCCTCTGAGTTGTCACCTCTGTCCAGGGTCCCTTTTGCCCCCCTGGATTGTGGGGATGGCTTTCACAGGCTTTACTGGCACCCACCCCTCTTCTGCGTGTGCTTCCTGCAGCCTTGGTTATCAGCAGCTGAAGTTGCCCTGTCCTGTTTCAGTTGTCGCTTCCTTTTTCCATTGTGTCTCAATACTAAGCTCACCTTTAATGTTTAAGGAGGTGCACAGGACAGCCTGCCTGCTGACCTACATCTCAGTTGTCTTGTGTTGGTTCCTGCTCCCTTGGCTCCAGCAGCAATGCTGGCTGCTGTCTCCCCTCTGCAGCCTTGTGTTTGCTCCAGACGGGCTCCCTCAGTTCATCCCAGTGATATCATTAGAAGCCTTGAACATGACAGAAGCTAGCAACTTTTGGGGCAGTAGTACCATGGTACTGACGGTGCTGTAAGCATTGCTCCTTTAGTACAGTCTCAGCAGTGTTGTGATATTATCACCCCTGAAATAGATTAGTTCCTGTCATTTCTCAAGGCTTATAACAGCAGTCAGGAAATGGGCTGTTTGAAGGTTTGAAAATTCCAGTTTCAAGCCAGATAATACCACTGCACTATGTATTTAATGAGCATTACATTTGGATTAGTGGATGCTCCAGGTAAGTGCATGGCCTTTGTTCAGTCCTGACATTATGCACCTAAGCAGAGTATACTTGGGATCAAAATGGTCTTGATGCTGCAGATAGAAGTGAATAATGTGGGCAGATACAATAAGCCAAGAGCTTCACCAAAAGTTACGCGTATGGAAGATGGTAAATTCCATAATGCCTCGTAACGTGGATATTAAGGGAAAGGAGATTAGCAGGGGAGAGAACTTGGAGAAGGACTATTTCCCTGGATTTCTTTTGCATCTTATAAATAATAGCAAGGCTTACCTTAAATCACTTCTCTCTCACTTCTTACCAGGTTGCCAGAAGAGGTATACTAGTACTCCCAAAATATATACAGATTGCATGGAAACTTCTTGCTGTAGTGATCATCTTTTATGCATATTGTTGTCAGCTAATCACAACTTCCTTATTGTCGTTCTGATTTCTTAAACTTTTGCCAGTAACTTTTATTTTTCTTTTCCTTTAAAATCCCCTGGGGCTTTTCTGGTTATTTTTTGTGAAAGGTGCTGTTTCTATGTTGGACTGTTTTCAAAATTCTGGAATCGGTGAGATTTCACTTTTATTAATACAGCTGCCAGGTTATTCTCATTTTAAACACACAACAAAAATTCTGTGTACCATGGTCTCTTATAATAAAGTTGAGCAAGTTCCTTCTTGCCTTTTTAGTTATGAACAGTTGTAGTGTTACACTTTTTAATTTTTTTAAAATAAATATAAATGTAAAATATAGCTTACTGAATTGCTATGGCTTCTCTGTTTCAATTAACACCACACAGTTGCGCTCATGGAATTCCATTAGTGGCACTTTGTTTCATTATAGGGGTTTCTTAAGAAGCCAATAATATTGGGGCTGATGTTCATAACTTTACAGGAAAACACATGGACAAACTACTGAAATCTTGAAATGTGCTTGGTACAAATCTTGTCTTGTCTCTCCAGGTTTAGGGGGCTCATGTTTAAACTTTGAGTTATTACTTGTTGCAGAGCCTGAAAAGTTGGTGACCTGTATTTTGTTCAGTAGGTCAAAATATCATGGAAGTGTGGCTTATTTTTTTCCAAAAGATTTTTCCTTCCTGTCCTAAGGGAAAATTCTTTTATTCAGTAAAGGTAGAATTTATTTCTTTCCTTAACATATTTGTGGCGACTTTGGTCTGAGGGCTTTTTTTGTTGCAGGAACCAGGGGTCTTTAAGAATGAATCTGCAAAAGCTGACAGGAACTTCTTATTTTGTTTTTGAAATAGGATGTTATCAGTTGAAAAAGGTAAATAAGAATGAAGATTCCCTCTTCCCTGCCCCCTTCAACCCCAGTTGCAACAGGATATTGAAAAGCCTGAATTCTGGGGGAAATTAGTATATTATTACAACTGCTCAATAAATCTTGCTGGGGAAAAACTTGCTTTGTGCCAAACATTAGAGAAATGTATGTCAAACAATTTTCCTAATCAGGATTGGAGATAGCGCTATGGTATCTGTTAACTTCAGCAAGAACAACACACCTCCTCTTTTTTTTTTTTTTTTTTTACTGTCCTAGCTTGAACCAGTGGATTTATATCTATATGTAGTAAGGGATGTGTGCAACTCACTTAAAAAAAAATTTAAAATTAAAATCTTTGTGAATTATAGTCAATGGTATTAGTTAGGGACTAGTAGAGACTAAAACCTGTCTGAAATGTGACAACACAGCTTTTTCAGTCTTTCAGTAAATCTGTCATACCATTTCTAACTTGTCTGATGAAAATTTATATGACAGTGTTTCTCAAAGTTTTTTAGGCTCCAGGCACCGCTAGATTGGCTAGAGGCACCCCTCGGGAAAATGTCGGCTCTTAATTCTCACTCACATTTTTTGATCACAGAAAAATAATAGAACAATTCTTCTGTTGCAAGAAACCTGGGAAGACCATAAAATGTCTTGAGTGTTTTAATGCTGTGTTTCCTATTTGAAATCTCTGGGTTTATCTTGTGAACCATGTGCATGCTAACATTGCGTGGCACCTGGTAGCGCTCTTAAAAGGATCGTGAGGCACTCCAGAGTGCTTTGGTGCCCAGGCCTTGAAGCATTGCTATATGCTGTAATCAAACTGTGCCACAGGTACTTAAAGGACAAGAAATTGACTAGGGTTGTTAGAGAGTTTAGTGGTTAATATAATATAAGCTAACTAATGAGGGGATAAGATGTACTACAGTGTATATATAAGCATGTACCTATGAGAGTTGAGGGGGCAGGGGGAGATGCTGGGAACACATTTACCTTGGTATTTCTACTTGTTTTCTTCTCTAGCATTTAAGAACTACTCAGCTGAGAACTAACCTTGTATTTGTGATCCTTCTCCAAATACTTCTTGGTAAGGATATTTTTATCACTTGGATGCAGGCATTTCAAAAGCAAAGGGCAATGAAGCCTTGGTTTCAGTTATCTGTGGACTGACTAAAACAGCAGTTTTTAAATTTTGTTTTAATTGGGAGGTGGGGGCACTCTTTAAAAACCGTAATATGGAAATGCATCTCCACAGATCTGCACAAAGCTTTAAGGTAAATTGTATGCAGTAGTTGGAGACATCTGTCTTTCTAAAAATGGAGTTAAAAAATAGTTTCAGCCAATAAAAGAATGTTTTTAGCTGGCTTTCGCAAACTCATTTTGATTGGTTTCCTTGTCCCATCAACAGTCAAGGACAGTATGAACAAATTAATACTTTACTGTTTATATTAAAAAAAAAAATGTTGATATGCATCAGAGTTATGCTTGCCAGAAAAGCATAATCTTCATGTAATCTTTGGGGGAGTTTGAAGGGTTGCTTTGGAAGATGCATTTTGTCTACCCTTATGGGCATGTCCTCAGTGAGTGGAAACATGCTTTCTCTGGGGACAACAAGCAGCAGCACTTATTTGTGCCTCTGCTGCCAGTTGTCCCCAGGGAATGCTCCTGCATGCATGCTTTGGTGCATGGCAAGTTGGCCCGGGTGCGATAGGGGAGGCTGGAGCCAACGCTTGGGCTGGCCCCAGCAGCACCTAAGGGCGGGCCCCCCTAGGGCTCCAGCAGTGCCAGTCTGGGTGCATAGAACTTGGTTGGCAGCTGGAGCGTGGCTCTGGCCAGCAAGTCTCTGGTTTCAGGTGGCATGCTCTGCCACCATGTGCACCACCCTGCTTTGTTCTGAGGCAGGTTTTTTTGACACTGGGATCTCCGTGTCAAAAAACCTGCAGTGCTGCAAGCTAGCAGCAAATGCTGTCATTGTGTAGCATGTGCAGTCTGTGGCACTGCAAACTGCATGTGTGCGCTCATCTGGATGCGCCCTCGGTATATTAAATGCATCATAGTAGATCTTGAGCCTTAACAGTTTGCCTATTTGTAGAGCCTTTAAAATTATGTGAATTGCTTTGGGTGTAAGTGATATACAGCTGCTCATTTTAAAGCTAACTTTGATAGCTGTTTAGTAAGTAATGTAAATCGCATAAATTTTTTTTTGGTAGGGGTGCACCAATAAAGATTTTTGGGCCAATTTTATTAACCAGCCATGTTGGCCAGTACCAATCTGATAGCCAGTACGAAGCCCAGCAGCTTGGAGAACAGTGTCCGGTGGATAAGTCTGGGGGGGACAAAGAGAACAGGCCCCTATGGTGAGGGAGGGAATGGGGCAGAGGCAGGTGCTGCCTAGCCAGGATGGGGCATGGGACATAGCTGTGGACAGCCTGCCTCTGCCCTATGCACAAACCTGGGGTTGTGCACAGCGGTAGGGAATCTCTGCCCCAGCCCCACCCCCCCACCCCCAACATGGGGGCCTCAATTTACTAGCCGGACTCTGCTCCCTAAACTGCTGGGCTGCCTTCCTGGCCACGTGCATGCTAC